AGTAGAACTGGATAGAGTAGAAAGTTAATCTTTCATGTGAAGATGCATAAAGGTGCATGATTAAGGGTTTGTTTTTTAATGCAGGCACCTTGTTTAGGAGGCAAAATTTGTGAAGAAAAGCAAACAACTCTTCTCTGAGAAGACAGATATGTCATTCAGACCTGGATTTCTATAGTTCAAAGAGCATTTAGATGAGAACAAACCGTACAATTAGAGATCGGTCAAATAACCTTCTATCGCTTCAGAATTTGATGTAACTTCAAAGAACAGCGCAGTTTGCACACTTACACCGCCTTCTTTAGATACATGGTTGTTTATTCAGTTTAAGGAGGAAAGAAGAAAAGAAGGAAATTCAGAGTAGCAACCATATTCCAAGCACTGATAGGCACCCTACCTATATTAAGGTATTTAATGTGTCTCTATTCTTTACAGCTGAAAAAGTGAGGCCATCTGCAATTACTTTCCCCAGTCACATAACTTGAAAATACCCGTTTCAGGATTAGAACCCAGGACTTTGAATGCAACATCCTGTGCTTTTTTCCAGATATTCTCCTCCACTGAATTCACTGATTTTCTATCTACTCCTTTTCTACTTCTTAAGGAAAGAGGAGAGACTTTGAAAATATATGTGGCTTAAAACTGCGCTTCCATTATAATGAGACATTATACAAATCACTGCCATTTTTTAAGCCTATTTGATTTTTGCTTTTTAAAACAAAATAATCAAAACATAAAAAGAGTAGAGAAAAAAGCAATAATACTGTGTACCCAATGCACAACTTTGTTAGATTTGTATCAGATCATTTTTAGTCAGTAAATAAACATTACATAGAATTGAAGCCCCTTCTCTCTCTAGAGAATAGGGGCTTCATTTTCCTGAAAATTCATTTTCCTGAAGTTTAAATGTATCACTTTCCTCCACTGTTTTATATTATATATACAACATAAATATATAATATTTGTAAGAGTACTATAAAAATAGTATATGCAGTATTAAAATTAATATATAATAGTACTTTATATAGTACTATCTGTGTATTTAAACTTTGCATACATTATATGCTGTACTTATCATTTTGCAATTTTTTTTAATTCAGTATTTTTTTTTTTGAGACAGAGTCTCACTTTGCCTCCCAGGCTGGAGTGCAGTGGCTCGATCTGGGCTCAACCTCTACTGCCTGACTTCAAGCGATTTTTGTGCCTCAGCTCCCCCAAGTAGCTGGAATTACAGGCGTGTGCCACTATGCATAGCTAATTTTTGTATGTTTAGTAGAAACAGGGTTTCACCATTTAGGACTGGTTACTCTCGAACTCTTGACCTCCAGTGATCCACCTGCCTTGGCCTCCCAAATTGCTGGCATTACAGGTGTGCACCACCATGCCCAGCCAGATTTATCCCTGGTAATGAATACATGTGTAATAATGTATTTAGTTTATTTCAAAATTATTTCCTTTTATCACAATTTATTCATAAATCTGTTCATAAATATTTAAGTAATTTCCAAATTATGGTTTTTTAAAACCATGCTGCAACAAACAGCTTTGCATACTTAACAGCTTTGCATACTTAGTCAAACATTTCTTTAAGATAGAATGCCAAGCTTCATCTCAGCCTTTTCCAATCATAATCTCCAGGGACAAAACTGGGAAGATGTATGTTTCACAAGTCCCCCACTCAGCCACCCTGAATGATTCTTTTCCTCAGGGAAGCTTTGGGAAAACCACTCTAGACCGAAGTAAAACTGCTGCATCATAATATGTGCTTATCTTCCACTTTTCAAGATATTGCCAAATTGTTTCCCAAAGTAGAATAATTTACATGCCCACAAACAAGATATGATTCTAATTTTCCCACAACATTGTCAACATCTATCATTGTCGAAGTTTAGGTCTTTGTCATTCTGGTAGAAGTGAAATAATATTTCATTGTTGCTTTAATTTTTTATTTGTTTTCTGTTTACCTGTAAAATTGAGCAAACTTTTACCCATAATTGGCTATCTGAATGTTCTCTGTGAATTGTGTGCCTCTTTTCTGGTGAGTTTTCCCTTATTGATTTGTAGAAATGTGTGTGTGTGTGTGTGTGTGTGTGTGTGTGTGTGTGTGTATTTCTGCAGAATATATATAGATATTCTGGAAACTAAAAAGTAAAATATTATAAAGCTTAATAAAATAAAAATTAAAAATCCTATGCCTACCCATATCACTCCTGAATTTTTCTCTTGAGAATGAATCATTTCATATATTTTTAGTGGTTTTTATAATATTTATCTTCATATTTCTAAGAAATATAATTATATATGTTATTATTATTGATTTCCTATATAGAAGGGTTTAGCATTCTTGCAACATTACCTTATTCTCCCAATAAAATTATAACTGAGTTTCTTCTTTAAAATATTATACTTTAGAATGTTATGATTAGATAAATATTGATCGTTGCTTAGATCACCACTACTATTATTGTATTTCCTTTTTTTTTAAGAGACAAAATCTCACTCTGTTGCCCAGGGTGGAGTGCAGTGGCATGATGGCGCTTTGCTGTGGCCTCTACTTCCTGGGCTTGAGTGATCATCCTGTGTCAGCTTCCCCAAGTAGCTGGAACTACAGATGTGTGCCACTACACCTGGGTAATCGCTAATTATTATTATTATTATTATTATTGTTATTATTATTATTATTATTAGAGATGGGGTCTCACTATGTTTCCTAGGCTAGTCTCTAACTCCTGGGCTGAAAAAATCCTCTCACCTCTGACTCCCAAAGTGCTGGAATCATAGGTGTGAGCCACTGTGCTCATCTGTATTTTCTTTTTTAAAGAAAAATGTAACTTTTGTCTTCTTGGAGTTAATAATTGCTTTATTTCTATATACGCTTTCCTTTCACTAATTCTCTATAGTTTCCAACCTCTCTCAGTACTGTTTTCTACATAAATATATCAAATGATCTTCCTTTTTCTTCTGCATCCCTTTGTCCTTCTGCTCCAGTTTGGACTGGTTATTGTTTTAACTGGGTACACAGCTCTCAGTCTGGAACCTCCTATTTTCACCCTGGGAATTCCCTTTGCTACTCCACTCTGTGAAATCCTCAAGGTTTTTGGAACCTATCTTCTTTTTTCAAGTGTTTTATTATTTTGGTGGAGCACATCCTCTAGTACTTTTGTGAGACATTGTTTGACATCTCACAAATCTAAAAATGTTATTCCATTTTCAAAAGTAATATATGTATACAAACCCACAGCTTGGTATACAATTCTGAGGTGAAATTTATTTTTCCTCATATTTTGACAGTTTTTCTCCTTTTTGGCCTGGCTTCTGAAGTTGTTGCTATAGAGTTTAATATAATTATCATTCACAGCCCTCCATATTTAATCTGTTTTTCTTTTCTTCTCTAGGAGCTTTTAAATTATTTTCTTATCCCCGGTGTTCTGAAATTTCATAATATTTGTATCTTTTTTGGTGTTTTGTTTGTTCATGATGTTAATCACTTAGGATGGTGGGCTTGGTCTCCTTTAAATTCAGAAATTTAAGTTCTTTAATTCTGAATAATCATTTGTTATTTGCTTGATAATATTTTATTCTCTGTTTTCTCAGCACATATGGGCATTCTTTCTCTGGAATTTTTGTTCATTTTATGTTAGCACTCATGAGATGATTACTTAATATTCTTATTTGCTAATATTACAGAATACAATAGACTGGGTTGCTTAATCAACAAATAATTATTTCTCACAGTTCTGGAAGCTAGGAAGCCCAAAATCAAGATGCTGATGAATCCAGTGCCTGATGAGGGTCTGCTTCCTGGTTTGCTGACAACTACTTTACCACTGTATCCTCATATAGAGAGAAGAAAGAAAGAGTGGAAGCAAGCTGTCTCATCTTTTCCTATAAGGGCACTAGTCTATGCATGAGGGCTCCACCACTGTGACCTAATTACCTCTCAAAGGAACCAACTCCTAATACCTTCATATTGACAGAATTTCAACCTATGAATTTTGGGAGCACACATTCAGTCCACAGAACATACATTTATATGGATATATATTCACACACACACACACACACACACACACACACATACATGAACACACACACATATATATAAAGTTTCAGGAACTCTTTCTTGTTCTTTATTCCTTTTATGGTATTCTGTTCCTGTTTCATGAATACAATATCTTCTTATCTTTCTGATTCTTTCTTATACATCCTTCTTTGCCTATGTTCCCTCCAAATTATTGTTTTTATGTTTGCTTTGTCTCTATCTTTGATGTTAGAGGCTTTCCTTCAATGTATACTGAAGCTTGATTGTGAATTAATAAAAACCTGCTTAGAAACTCTGCGCAAATGGATAAGGCTCATAGACTTTTAAGGTTGTATTATGGAGTAATTTTATTTATGAGAACCAAAAATATCAGTGTCTATATATATTTTCTTTGCTGCCATCCAGTTTGTCCAGAAGTATAAAAACCTGGCTTTCAAAATTATGGATACCAACTGTGGGTGGTGGCTGGGTGTGGAGGGCTGGTTGGGCTGGAGTTTCTCTCAATTCATCCAGTAGAATTTAATTTAACCCTTCTACTCTCAAGATGACCCTCTGCTGTACCAGAGACTGAATCTACTATCTAGAATAAACCACACGTCTCCTGCCAGCATGTGAGAAATAGTTCAGGCAATGTGGAATAAGATTGGGAGTCAAGGGCATAAGTTCTCCTCAGATAGCCTTTAAGTTAAGTCTCCAATGTTCAGCTCCAATCTCATTCTTTCTAGTCATAGGGGCCTCTCTTTCCTAAGCCCTTCTATCAGCCTGTTTCTTTGGGCAATCTTCTCTCCAGGCAGTTGAGTCTCAGTTTTCTCCACTCTCCTACATCAGTTACCACTCCTCCACTGGTTTTACATCTTCCCAAAATGTGAAGTTGCCTCTTGTCCTTGGCCATTTCCTAACTCTGCTCTTGTGGATCTTGCAGGAGAAGGTATAGATAAATGCTAAGTTTATCTTTACATACCTGTCACCTTTAAGTCCTTTATAGATTTCTTCTTCTGCCCTGTAATTAAGTCTTTGGAGTTGATCTTGTTCTCCTATAAAATAAGCATCATAATAATAATAATAAATAGCAATAATAACACTCATTCATCTTCTTTCGGGTGTTCTTGTGAGGTTCCAAAAGGAGTAAACATACGAGACCACCCTTTGTAAACTGCAAGGTGCCATATGAATTCTACTTGCTATTACAAATATTAATGTTAATCTAGTGAAGAAGAGGAAACCTATGAAAAGGTCATTGTAAATGAAATAGAAAAATGATTGAGATGTGTGTGTGCAATTACAGAAGCAGAGAAGTACCTGGCAATGGAATCAGTGAATGAATGTGTCAACCCAGCCAGGATGTTCATGAATGGCTTCTTGAGAGAATCAAGACTAAGTTAATACTTACATGCATCAGAGGGTATTGTTTATCTTGTCCTTTCTCAAAAGACAGAATAATTCTAATTAGTTTTAAGTGAAAAGGGCCAAAGAAGATCACCAACCTATTCCCTTCTCTAAATGAAATTATCTGTTCATTCAGCCAGGTCACCAAGGTACATTGCCTCGAGGAATTTAGGTTGGAGAATATATTTTTATAACAGAGAAAATAAGGTAAATAATAGAAATAAAATCTTGATTGTGTGGATGAATATTAAATTTGTAATAAGTGACTTGATCTTTCCAAAGAGACAGTGAAATAATCTCCTTTCCTTCAGAAAAGCTTCTGCTACTTCCCAGACATTTTCACAAAGAGAATTCTACTTAATCCTCACCATAACCCTTTCAAATATCTAGATTCAATCCTGTTTTGCAGATAAGAAACTGAGAGGCCAAAAAGCTAAGTTATCTGTCAAGTTTAGAGTCAGATTTTGAATCCAGATCTCCAAATGCCAAGGAAAATGTTTGACTGATTGCCCTACTCCAGGCACCGGCCACCAGCCATCACTCACAACCATCTCTTATGATGGAAATGCAATGAGGCACATACTAGGGTGAAGGATCAAAGTAGGGACCACTCAGAGCCCAAGGGATCATTGGCAGATGTCCCATGGCATATGCCAGCACATTCTGTCAGCCCCTTAAGGGTACCAGAGCATCAGGCAATCAAAATGACAGGTTGCACAAAGATCGACACTCATTACAAATGGTCATCTTTTTCCTTTTGTTTCATTCCTTCTGAACAGCTGGCATCTTTCAGCAAACTGTCCGTATTATATTTAAGACATAGTACATCATTATAATAAAGCTTGGTGCTAATAATTATGTCTTGTTCAGGTGTTTTATGACTAAAGATCCTGACTTTCCCCCAAGGTTTCCAACTCACTCCTTTCCAAATTGTTGCTCTCAGGACTTTGTTACACTGCGGATGTGTCCCCAGCAATTAAATAGCAGTTTAATCCTTCCTCCATAGATCTTTCTTTTTGAGGTAGCATCCTGGAGCCTAAGCTACTTCCACTTTAAAGCTGGTATTTGTGGAGTCCTCAGTTGGCTGTGCAGGTGTGACTGCACACACGCGTTTATCGACATGGAAAGCTGGCTCCCCGCCTTCGTGTCACTCACACTTCATGGTCTCATCTATTTATCAACAATACTACTGACTCTTCCTCACCCTGCCTTCCTCTCCACCATTGTTCAGCAGTTATTAAGACACTCAAAATGTCAAACAGGACATATATTAGACAAGCATTTGATCTCTTAGCCTCAGTTATTTTATCTTTTAGGGTTGATAATAGTCCCCGCCATTCAGAATTACTGTGAAGATCAAATAAGTCAAGTATGCAAAATTACCTTGTAATTTGTAATAAGAAAGAAAGAAAGAGAAAAAGTAGTACTTTAGAGTTGGCAAAATCATTTTCATATAGATGACATCATTTAATACTCTTCATGAGCTTGGGAATTCTGGTACTTTATAGTGGAGAAGAAAATTCTTTGTTATAGGTTGGTGCAAAAGTAATTGTGATTATTATTTAAAACTGCAATGACTTTTGCAGCAACCTAATAGTTTACATTTAAAGTGGAAGCCTCTCTGCCCATTTGGCCTGGATGACGGCTGCGCACTGCAGTAGAGCAAAGGAATACGGCGGGACAATTTTCTAGGCAAATGCAGCAGGAGCACTGCATTTATTTTAAGGGCCCGGGATAGAGAAAAACTCCAGCTTAGCATTTCTACTCACACTTACTGAAATGTGGGTCAGGGTCTATGTAAGTATTCTTTCAGAAATTATTATTTGTTAAACAGCTTAGCTTTTCTTCGGTTGGACATTCAGCAAAAGTGTTTTGATCCAAACATTCAAATCAGTGCCCTTTACCGAAATTCTCTTAGGTTGTACCTTAGTCTACTTTCTGTTACTTTAGCAGAATTCCTACAACTGGGTAGTTTATAAAGAAAGCATGCCTGTCATCCGAGCTCTTTGGAAGGCCGAGGCGGGCGGATCACTCCAGCCACAGCAGGTTGTTTCCACTCACGTCACTCTAGTCAGATATTCAGTCACAAATAGCTGAACTACTTTGATCTTTTGGTTTGCCATAAGAAATAATCACCTTGCTATAAACAACCACATCTCAAAGCCACATACATAAAACTTTTCTCATGTGATATATTTAGCATATTTTGTATAATTTAGAAGTTTCAAGGAATTTTGACTTTGGACCATACATTAATTCTTTTATCAAATATATTCAGCCTCTTTTAAGAGCAAGTGCTTGCCTGTGGTATGACGATTCAGATTTCCAGACCTCATTAGTAGAAGTATCAGACTTACCTGTCAAGAGGCATTCCTCTCCACTCACCTGACACTCACCAGGTTACATACAGGCCTGCCAAACTTGGTAAGTTAAACTGTTATAAACAAATTGTTACAGCATATTTTAATGTGAACAAAAAAAGACATAAATAAACACTATTTGTTCCCATAAGTTTCCTTTCCAATATTGTTCAAATTGATGAAATCAGCAATGTTCTAAACTTTCGCAGATACTTTAGTCAATCTCAGACTTGGTCAGCTTTGCAAAATAGCAACTATTATTAGCATTTACATAAATCATATTAATTAGCATGTATTAAGTATTAACGACATGGTATGTCCTTAACATGAATTATTTTCCCTAAAATTCATGATGATATTACTTACATGATGAAGGACTAAGATTATCTCATTTCACAGATGGCAAATACAGTGAGACCTAAACTGAGAATTTTTCACCAGGTGTAGCCCTTGACAAACTATTGAAGGAAGTGGAAAGTTCCCATGCTTTGATTGATATGGTTTGGATATTTGTCTCCTCCAAATGTCATGCTGAATTGTAATTCCCAGTATTGGAGGTGGGGCCTGGAGCGAGGTGTTTGGACCATGGGGTCACATCCTCATGAATGGCTTACCTGTCATCCCCCTGGTGATTCAGGAATTCTCACTGAGTTCACGCAAAATCTGGTTCTTTAAAAGCTTGTGGCGCCTCCTTCTTTTTCTTTATTGCTCCTGCTGTCACCATGTGATGCATCTGCTCCCCTTCACCTTCCAGGACAATAATAAGTTTCCTGAGGCCTTCACCAGAAGCAGATGTCAGAGCCAAGCTTCTTTTACAGCCTGCAGAACAATAAGCCAATTGACTTACCTTCTTTACATAACCCAGTCTCCGGTATTTCTTTGTAGCAATGCAAAAATAGCCTAATACACTGATAAGCTTACTTTAACTTCACATTTATTAAGCACCTACTCTATGTAAATGTCAGTGCTAAATTCTGGAGAATGGAATAAAAATGGAGAAGATACAATGACCACCCTCAAAGGAATTTAAAATCTAAAAGAGCATAGAGACGTGTACAGAAGCAATATAAGTAAATTAAGTGGGCAGAGGCCATGGCAAGGGGAGTCCTGGATATGGATGAAGAATGAAAATGAGCTGGCCTCAAGGTTTCACAGAACACATTTATTGTGGTGAAGTTAATGCGTGAGTACTGTAAATTCCCTTTCCGGAAGCGTGGTTAACAGCGTGTGCAGCACCCCTCTGAGTCTTGGACAGGAGCACAAACTGGAAGGATCCGTCCTGAATCCCTCCCAGCGTACCTCCTGAGTCAGCTCTGAGTCCTTTCCCACAACCCTCATCTGCCATCGGGTCTTGCTGCCACGGCCCCGCCCACTCAGGCGCTTGTACTGAGTTTCCCCATTTCCCATTCCCACCGCCCTCCCATAAGAACAGGCTCTCCCCTGTGGAACCCAAGGAACTCTTGCACATTACCACTCGTATTATTCAGGGTCTTCTAGAGGGACAGGACTAACAGAATTGATGTATATATGAAACGGAGTTTATTAAGGAGTATTGACTCACGTGGTCACAAGGCGAAGTCTCACAATAGACCATCTGCAAGCTGAGGATCAAGGAAGCCAGTCTGAGTCCCCAAACCTCAATCGTAGGGAAGCCAACAGTGCATTTTTCAGTCTGTGGCCAAAGGCCCGAGAGCCCCTGGCAAACCACGGGTGTAGGTCTAAGAGTTCAAAAGCTGAAGAACTTGGAGTCCAACGTTGGAGGGCAGGAAGCATCCAGCACGGGAGAAAGATGAAGGCTGGAAGACTCAGTCAGCCATAGTCCTTCCACGTTCCTCTGCCTGCTTTACCCTAGCTGTACTAGCAGCTGCTTAGATGGTGCCCACCCAGATTGGGGGTGTGTCTGCCTCTCCCAGTCCACTGACTGAAATGTTAATCTCCTTTGGCAACACCTTCACAGACACACCCAAGAACAATGCTTTGCCTCCTACAATCCAATAAAGTTCCCACTCAATATGAACCACGACAGTGCTCTAGGGCCGCAGGTCCAGGAGGCATCTCTCTGCTCCTGGAAAGCATCTAGGCATCCTGACTAATCTTAGGTTTGGCTAATTTTGATTGCCTTTGAGACACAATATGCTTCCCTGCCTCTGTAATAATTATTGGGGATTGATTGGATTTCCAAAAACAAAATATATGTTATAGTCCAGCATTGATGTAGATGTAATTAGTCGGGCTGAAATTAGGTCATACTAGGGTAAGGTAGTCCCTTAATTCCACATAACAGATGTTCACAGGGAGAAGATGACTATGTGAAACTGAGGCGGAGGCTGGAGTCACGCAGGCACAAGCCAAGGAAGCAGACTACCAGGAGCTGGCAGAGGTAAGGAAGGGTTCTGCCCCAGGGCCTTCAGAGGAGCACGGCCCAGCCAGCACCTTGATTTCAGACCCAGAGCCTCCATAACTATAAGAGAGTAGATTTCTGTTGTTTTAAGCAATCAAGTTTGTGGTAAAGTACTTTGTTACAGCAGCTCTGTAAACTAACTCTAAATAATGAAGGGGCACAATGGGTAGGAATTCCAGAAAAGATAGAGAACGTACTGCCATCAAATGTAGATGTTGCGTTGTGTTAAACACTGAAGGTGATAAATGCTACCTTTTTGCTGGCATCCTCTACAATGAGGGTTCTTGAGGAATACCCCAAACCCAATGAGAATGATTCCAGCTGGGCTGTGAGACCTCAGGATCAGAGACAAGGCAACATTTTAATCATCAGCATTACTTATCGTCTCCAAAAAATTGTGTGATCTCACCCATAGACCACCCCACTTCTCAACTCGGCACACACCAATGGGCTAGACCAGTCCTGCTAGAAGGGAGCAAGAGCTCAAGTCTTCACTTCTACACAGAAACTTGATATATCTTTGAACTCCCTGCAGGCATCTTATACTCTATTCCAGTTTCCACACTGGTGGGCCCCAGCTCTGTGCATGGAGCTAGAGACAAAGAGATGAGCAAGTGACAGCCCCTCTCCTCAAGCTGACAGGCCATTTACAGACATAGGTAGATGTGCAAATGGCTTCAGCACATAGCCTATCCTATTAAAGAGGCAAAATTCAATGTTAGAACCACAAAGAACAAATATACCTAACCTACTTACAATGTCCTTCTGCATTGCGATGCGATGAGAGTGAGAGACTACATAGTCTTTCATCATTTTAAAAGAGTTCCTCCAGCAATATGAGAAAGGCAAGGTGAGAGGAGGAAGGTGAGATGGGGTGTGAAGAAGTGAGGGGAGGCAAGATGAGATAAAAGGTGTTGGAGATTGTGTCAGTCTTGCTTTCAGAAGAACAGGGGTCACACTCTAGTTTTGAATAAATCATTTAACATTCTAAGATCCTCAGTCTCCCTACCTAAAATGCGGCTTAAAATGATAGCAAATAATATCTATCATGAGTATCAAAAGAGATGGTGGCTGAAAACAATTTTGGAAAGGTGAATGCCACCTAATGAATAGATTTTTTTATATTCAGAGAAGGTGTTTCCCAGGTTATCATTATCCATAATTGCTTCTCCACCTCCACCCCAGCTTACAGAATAGGAACATAGTATATAATAAGTACTTTTAGTACACAGTCATATCATAAGGCCAAAAAAAGACTTTCATGACAAAAATATGTTTACATTTATATGTCATTCATACAAATCAAGCAAATCCAATGTGTCTGTAGACAGGGACAATCCAGTCCAAGACAGGCTAGAGATTTAAAATCTAATAATGAAATATAAAAAAGCTTACAGTGCAGGTCATGTGTACACTAGGAATTCAGAGAAGGAAAGGAACTTCATAAGCAGGACAAATTAAAGAAATCAGAAAAGAGACAATGTGAGGTTGAATTTTAAGTTTCTAGAAGAAGAAGTTATGACTGAACTGTGTTTGTATCCCTAGAATATAATACTATACCTTACACAGTAGCCACCCAATTAATATTTGTAGAAAGAAAAGAGGGAGGGAGGGAGGAGGAGAAGAAGAAGAAGAGGAAGGAAGAAAAGAAGGAAGGAAGGGAAGGGAAGGAGGGAGGGAAGGAGGAAAGAAGGAAGGAAGGAAGGGAGGGAGAGAGGGAGGGAGAGAGGGAGGGAGGGACAGGAAATAGAGAGAGAGGGAGGGACAGGAAAGAGAGAATAGACTTAAATAGATAGAAAAGAGGACAAAGTGTTAACTTAGGAAAAGAAAATCGAGTGAGAAAACAAGAAGAGGTAGAAAAAAGTAGGAGGCAGTACAAACACCAATTTGATGATAGTTTCAGTTTGATTTGAGGACTAGAAGTAGATAAATATGAAGATGTACGATAAAGGCCAAGCCAGACCCTGGAGAAAAAGAAAAGAGGCTTTAACTTGCACAATTTTCCTCCTAGGTCTACTCTTCGAAAATAGCATGGATTCCAGTTTGGGCTTCAGGTCTGAGAAACCCAAGTCTCAAGCCTGTCTTGTTATGTGTGGAGTGAGCCAGGCTGAGAGACCCTAGCACACTTCCTAGGGATGGGAGGAGGACATACTCCTGTGGGAAGAGGACAGAAAAGTACAAGGAAAGACAGATGTAGGGAGCTACATACATTCTCCTCAAACAGAGTCCTGCACCCAGCAGGGAGCAGAAATTGTCATGTACCCTCTATGGCTGATGCTATTCTGTGAGCAGGAGGACACCCATGAAAATGTTAATCTCTAGTCTGAGAGCAATGTCTCACTCAGAGTAAAACATTCATGGTGTGGGCACCAACATTTATGGCGACAGAAGATGTGTCCTCTGCTGAGATCTCCCCTTCAGCGGGCACCAGCATTATGCGGAAACAGAAGACATCTTCCACCCAGGCCTCCCCCAGCAGGCACCAGTCTCAGAGATAGCATTGCTGGTGAATGATAGGGACAGAGTCACCACACACAGTTTCCCAGCAAACAGGATCAGGAGAGGAGGAAAATGCAGGACAAGCTTGATGGTAAGACTACAAAAAGAGAAGACACTCCCTGAGGGCTCCTAGGATTACTGGAAAGCAATTTGCCGTGGGTTGTGAGTCCTTCTGAATGTACTGCAACAGATTTTTTTTTTTAAACTGCTTTATAGCTGTTATCCTGACTCCCAGTATTCTGATCTGGGAAATGTGGGGTACAAAAGCAATACAAATAAAGCACTCCTGCCAGAGCAGATTTGACCTCGAACCTGAGCTCTCCAAGACCCTGACATCAGCAGGCTGCAGAGAAGATACCTCTCCCATTGCCTGCTACAGCTGGTATCAGATAGCATAAAGAGACAGCCAGCCCCAAAGAGTCAAAAACAGGAGCTGCAATTCAACAGTCTGGGGAATATAGACATTTTCCTTGAGGCAAGTCACAAGATACTCTACAACAGAAGACAGCTGCTCAAATAAACTCTTTCTCATTCAAAATCTCCACTGGCAGAGTTCTACCATGTGGACCAATCAAGTTTTTTGTTTTTTTTTAAATTGTGCTAAAAAAAAAAGAATGTGTGCCTTGTTTTTTAAAACAATAACAACAAAGGGTAGGAAGGCAAATTGCACTAAATGCTGGGTGATTACCAAGAGTGACCCTGGCTATACAGATTTTGGCTTACTAAGGAAAACACATGCAATTAGGAGACAGTGAGAGAGACCAGCACTCCTCAGGATGTGGAGTCATACAAGGAGGCATTGCCCTTACTCGGCCTTAAATGGCTTTGCCAGGAGATAAGACATAATTCGCAGAATGGTGTTTGTAAATGTTTACATTTTTGTAACCCACTGCCATTTGTTTCAGAATTATATGCATTCCAGGTATTGCTTTTGGTAGATTTTTACCTTTAGTTCTGTAAAACAACGGCTTCCTTCCTTTTTTAAAGATACCAGGAATCTTGAATTCAGTTCAAGGTATTGATCTTAATGTTTGCTCGAGAGGTCCGTGATAGAAATATTGCATCTAAATTTTTAAAACACCTGACTCTCAGTTTGAAACAATAGGATGAACCCTATAGAACACAATTTGGGGCAAATCTAGACAGAAAAAAAAAATGCCTTTAGCTAGAGAAATTCTGTAGGAGCAAAGAATTATTATTTTGTGTGTGTGTGTCTTCAAGAGCATCAGACCCCTGGGTATGACTTGACCTCAAGGACCTCTTCTGTCATGGGCTAGTGCTCTCTGGTTGCAGAGAAATGCTGTTTTCTGGAGTCTTTAACTTTTTTTCTGGCCATCATCCCAGAAGTATTGATCACCTTCAGTCATTGTCCTATTCTGCCTCAGAATGGCGCCAGTGATTCCTAAAACCCAAATGTTATTATGCCTCTACTGCTTAAACCCCTGTGGCCATTCCCTATCTTCCCCAGATGAAAAAGTTCAATGTCCTTAGAAAGGCTGGAAGGACCATTGGAACCTAGAAGCTGCCCAGTTTCCATTTCCCCATGAGAAAACAGACAGTCGGCTGTTAAAAGAGCTTGCAAGGTCACCACTAACTGATGACAGAGCCATTTCCAAAAGGACTCGCATCATATGGAACTGGGCTGGGTTTCTGATTTAAATTTCCTGTCAGAGCTTCTGCATTCCCTTCAATGAAAGCCAAAAGTTATCCTTTTCCCGTTCCCTTAGAAAAATACTACTAGAATGCTATTTCTAACATATTAATTATTTGAAAACTTTAGTGGGAGTTGAAGGCAGGTAACTAAAGACGGTACTTAGAGAGCCATTCAAACTCACTTGGAAATAATGTAAATGGGTTTCTCTGTTTCACTTTCTTCATCTGATAAATTTCAGCATAGTGTTTGTTCTGCTTAATCCCAGCATAACTAGTTTCTTTTCATTGTTTTCTACGAGGCAGTATTTCCTAGATCATGACTATCATGCTGACTCTGGTATTTTACTAGCTTTAAAGGGTCCTGTCTCACTGAAGAGCTGTAGCCAGTGCTTTTGTGCCTTCCTGTGGTCGTCATACCCTCAGGGGAAAAAGAATTCTATGGGAGGCCTCCTTTAGGCACCTCCTTCTTCTATTGCTCTAGGTGCTTTATCTGCAGACTAGAGTTTCTGGCTTTAATAATTCCTACAAAGATAGCAAAAGGCCAAAGCCCTAGGATCTCAAGACTTTGCTATGGCATGCAGAACCAGCCGTGGAATAAGACTGGATTTATTGGCCTCTTTGCTGCTGTAGTGGTGGTCCTTGCCCAGCAAGTGGGCGCTGCTCCAAAGGCACCTGAGGTGTATCACTTGGTGTCTATTTATGTGACCAAGATCTAGAAACTCTCTGAGGACAACTCAGCCCTGGCACAGGGGACCCCCAAGGATTGACCTTGGCAGCCCATTAGCTCTGCAGTCCCAACCCTTGAGTGCCCTGCTCCTGCAGCAGGAATGTGAATTCAAGGGTCTTGCAGGCTCAGCTCATAGTTAGGGATGGCTGTTGTTCCCATTTTTACCTGTACACAGACATAGATCATTGTTATTTTTAGTAAAAAGCATTTTATTTTGAAATAATTTTGAATAGAACTATTTGATTACTTTGTCAAAATTATAAAATCAACACATCAGTCAATAAACATATATTTGAAAATATTGTATAATTATAGTTATTTTAGCACTACCTTTTAGTCTCAAAAGTATTCCAACATGGGACACAAAATTCTATGGTCACTTTACATGCTGGTGGACAATAAGAAGAGCAGAGACCTGAATTCATATGAAGAGCAAAGTCCATTGCATTAGTCTGCCCTCATGCTGCTAATGAAGACATACCGGAGCCTGGGTAACTTCTAAAGAAAAGAGGTTTAATGGACTCACAGTTCCACCTGGCCGGGGAGGCCTCACAATCATGGCTGAAGGCAAAAGAGGAGCGAAGTCACATCTTGCATGGTGGCAGGCAAGAGAGAGCATGTGCAAGGGAACTCCCAGCTATAAAACCATCAGAGCTCATAAGACTTCTTCACTATCACAAGAACAGTACAGGAAAGACCTGCCCTCATGATTTAATTACCTCCATGACATGTGGGAAGTATGGGAGCTACAATTCAAGATGAGATTTGGGTGAGGACACAGCCAAACCCTGTCATCCATCTTTCCCCCTTTGTCACAGGGTCTCTGCCAAGTGAACTGACAATCCTTAAAGGCAAATCACACGAATCCTATCAGCCACAGCAAACAGCATGGAATACAGGCAGAAGTTATTAAAAAAGCACTTTCTTGGTCACTTGCAGGTCACAAAGGGTGTAAGGATAGGACTTGGCAAGCCCCATGACCCTCCCCCTACTCTGAGGGGAAGCTCCAAAGGCACAAGTAGCTGTGGGTCTGAGTGGGACCTGCCTCAGGCCTGGGAGGAAACTGACTCATTGATGAAGAATTTCCAGGTCCTGGCCAAGCAAGAGAAATTAGTTCACCCAGCCTGGATCACCAGTAGGGCAGTGTGCACCCACAGGACAAGGGCCACGGACACAGGACAGAACAGGGATACACCGAGAAACTTCAGGGCTCCTCCCCCACATCAGAAAACACTCCCAGGACAGAGAGATACCTCTTGGGGGAAAGAAGAGGGAGGAGAGCAATTATGAAGGCCTATTTACATTCTGTCAAACGAGATTTAAATTGTATGCCACCTTTAGTTATTTGCTTTCTCCTCTGCTTTCTTGATCATGTTACTTATTTTTCTGAACACTCTGGGTGTAATGCACGTAAATTTATAACCCTACTACACAAGTGGCCTCTTTTAAATAGATAGATAGATACATAGATAGAGATACAGTTATAGATATAGATATAAATACAGGTAACTTCTGAAGCGTCTTCTTCAGAATGAGATTAACTAGCTCTTCTGAGTGTTTCCAGGTCTACGTCAGAGAATTTCTCCCAGCTGTGGCCCAGGGAAGTTAGAGGATGTGAGAGTTCCAGGGGTCTGTGGGCTGTAGTACAGAGAGTGGAAGAAAAAGAGAAAGGACTCCCATGAGATTAAATACGGGAGAAAGGTGTTAAAAGAAGAGGTAAGAGAAACTCTGTCTACATTTCCTACTGTCAGCCCTGTTAAATATTAACAAAGGCATTCTTTTTAATTTTCATACCTTATAAATGTGAAACTGGGCATTGAGGAAACGACTTGAAATGTTTCCCAACACTGAACAATACAAGCCTTCAGGTGCAGCGTCTATGGGCCCAGATACCTTTAGGGATTACTGCATGTGCTGTTTGGTTTCGTGCTGGAACACGAAAGATATCTCGCACCCAAGAGTCTTCCAAGAGTTTAAAAACTTCAGATCGTACATATCACTGTCTCAAGTGTAAAATTATCATGCCCTACACCGATCTCTCCCTCTCGCTGTCTTACTCTGATGACAATGTGGGGAGTATGAGAGACATGTGCTAATCTGTTTGGGGAATAAGGGAAAGGTGTTGGAAAAATAGAGAACATATTCCCAGGGAAACTATTTGAGTTCCACTAAGCAGAAAAATGTACAAACTCACTTCTAATTCACTCTGAAGTGGTGCATTTCAATTCCCTTGTAAAATACAGAAACACCAAATTGGAATATGTGTCCCAGCAAGAGCTCTCTTTTGAGTGGTTAGACCAAAGACAGTGAAATGTATCCAACAACTACACACTATAAATCATAGTCCACAGAACACATAGTTCTTGCCTGCCAATTTTTTTCAAAAGAAAAAGGATTATTGTACTTTATCCACAAAACTAAAATTCTATGAGAATTTAAAAGAAAAAAGCACAGCCAAGCACAGTGGCTAACACCTGTATTCCCAGAACCTTGGGAGGTCTAGGCAGGAGGATCACTTGAACCCAAGAGTTCAATATTAGTCTTGGCAACAGAGTGAGACCTCACATTGACAAAAGAAAAAAAAGCCAACCACAGTGCTGCACACCTGTAGTCCCAGCTTCTTTGGAGACTGAGTTAGGAGAATCACTTGAGACTAGGAGATAGAGGCTGCAGTGACCCATGATCACGCCACTGCACTCCAACCTGGTCAATAGAGTAAGACCCTGTCTCAAAAAATAAAAAAGAAAAAAGAAACAAAACAAATGTATTTTCCACAGCTCATCTTTTAGTTCCATATCTCAATTCTTTTCCATCATCACCATCCTCACCAGAGCAAGAAAACCTCAACTTTATCTTTGGCTCTTACCTCTCCTTGAGCCCACTACCTGACCATCCTTCCCAGTCTTTTCTTCTGTTCCTATTGCCACTTCCAGAGTGTGGATCTCATCAGTATCTTACCCCCCTATCTCCCTCTCTTTATCACCCTCCTCCTCAATCCTTAGTCTCTCCCCAGGATAATCAGCCCTCGCTTATCTTTTCTGTAAGCCGCCACTGAAGCAATCTCCTCATGCACCTGTCAGTTGTACCCCACCTTGGCTCAGGATCTTGACATCTTCCCAGGCTTGCACAACAAACACGATAATGGCATCTAATGGCCTTCATGACCGCCCCTAATTCTCTGTACTACTTGTTTCTTGCCCTACGCCTTTGTAAAAATCTTCTTCTGGAGTGACATTAGACAACCAACAGTTATTCAAACACCTTCTCACTTCCAATTCTTTGCGCTGCATTTTTTTTCTGGAATTTTCTTTGCTCTACCTCTCCAGCCCCAAACAGACAGACACTTCTTGAACTGTTACTCATGTTAGTCAGGAATAATGATGATGCCAGATGATCACAGATTGCCTGTATGGGTGGCTGAGATAGTGACACCTTTGCTTTTTGATGACACTTGGGACATGTTTGTACACAAAGTCTGTTTATGTGCAAAATGATTTTTAAACATTCTATAAAATTACCTTCAAGCTATGTGTGTAAGTTGTATATTGGACATAAACGAATTTCACATTGAGACCTGGGCCCCATTCCTCAAGATATCTCACTATATTTATGCAAAATTACAAAATCCAGAAGAATCCAAAATCTAAAACAGTTGTAGGCTCTGTCATTGTTCCAGTTTACTGCCTTAAGAGAGTTTCCAAGTCACAGCACAAGGAAGAGGAACCAAGGCCTAGCCTAGTGTACTCTCTGAATTAAGGAGATAGAGCTGGGAATTCTGGGAAATTAAGGAGCCAAGAGCTAGAAGACAAAGTAAAAGAGAAGAGAGAGAGTAGCACAAAGGAAGAACCCCCAGTGATTTGCAGATAATTCCCCTTGTGTATCCAGCTGATACGGATCAACATATACACGTGAGAAAACTAAAATGAAATCAGATAGCTACATACATCATACACAAATATCAATTCCAGGTACATTTAATAAAATAAATTCAAGAAGCAAAATTTTAAAACCTTTAGAAGAAAATAAAGAACATCTCTATCACATCAAGGTAGAGAATTTTTCTTATACAAGACACACAAAAAAAATTGGCCATAAAGAAAAAGATGAATACATTTGTGTACACTAAAACTAAACCTTCCGGACTCTAAAAGACACATATAAAAACTGAGACTGGGTAAGGCACACTGGCACATGCCTATAATTCCAGCACTTTGGGAGTCCAAGTCTGGCAGATTGTTGAGCTCAGGAGTTTGAAGCTAGCCTGGGCAACAAGGTGAAATCTCATCTCCATAAAAAGTACAAAAATCATCTAGGCATGGTGGCATATACCCATAGTCCCAGCTACTCAGGAGAATGAGGTGGGAGGATGGCTTGAGCCCAAACGTGGAGGTTGCAGTGAGCTAAGATCACATCACTACACTCCAGCCTGGACAGCAAAGTGAGACCTTCAAAAATAAATAAATAAATAAAAAGTAAGACGGACACAAGCCAGACACAGCAAAAAGATATTTACAATCCCTAAAACCAACAAGAAATGTTTAATTCAGTATATGCAATAAATAACAAAATATATATAATTCAATAAATCCTGCATATCCAGTTTTTAAAATACAGCAACCTAATAACAAACTATGGGCTAAAGATACAAATAGTCAATTTTAGAAGAGAAACAATAAATAGGCAATGGGCAGTGTGTGTGTGTGTGTGTGTGTGTGTGTGTGTGTGTGTTCAAATTTCTCAGAAAAATAAAACTACTTTCACACCCACCTCATAGATGTACAGGCATTTCTTCATTCAGCACAGATTTATTGGGTCACTGCTAGGCACACAGCTCTGTTAGGCACAGAAGCATTAAAAAGGTAAATAAATAACCATTATTTTATTTACCTTCTCTACTAGCATGAGAACTCAAAGAGGTCAAGGACAGCTTCTTGTTCTTCATTGGATCTTCCACACACAGTACATTCCTGGCATCAAGTAGAAAGATGATGCACCTCCTGCTTTGAGGATCTCGCAATGTGAGGAGGGGGAGGCAAGAAAGCAGCAAAGCCCAATACCTCTCAGGCATGCCTGGGAGTGTCCACAGGGAGCTAGATTGTGAAGGACATGTAGAAGTTCACCAGCACTTTGGTTACACTCATTATATAAAGAGTCACATTGAAAATTGGCCTCAAAAAATGTTTTCCCTAACACAGCTTCTTTCTTTTCAAATTAGCACAGAATATTTACCATATTATAAAACACATACACACACACTCACACACAACTATTCTCAATAACTTATACCGTGATAGTAAATAGCTTCAACTACAAAATGCCAGAAAAAGGAGAAGAAAGACGGGGAGGAGGAGGGGAAAAAAAGAGGAGGAGGAAGAAGAATCAAAGCCATCTATATCCACACAACTTACCATGTATTATGTTAACATTGCTTCCCTGCTAGCTATCTTCACTCTCGTTAACATTGCTTTATTCCTTCACTGTTCTATGACTTTACTGATTCAGAAAATTCTTGCTCAAGAAGATAGAAAAGTTGCAAGTAACTTTATTGTTAGTTTCATCAACTTCCTAGAAATCCCACTAAGTGAATATCTAACTGATCATTCTTCAAATAACTGCTTACTCCCCAAGATCGTTCAAAACTCTCAACTCTACCAATTATAAACTACCATATGATAATAATTACTCAGTCCCAAATAACAACAGCCTCCTACATTCTCCTTAGCCCTAGCCTTACAAACTCCCCAATCTCTACTACCCCTTGGCTTGAAAGACCCGTCTTAAGGCTGACTTCCTGATTTTACCATGTCACCCAATACTAGGACTCTGTGGGGTCTTACAGTAAACTATGATGCAGTAAGAATAAACTCAGCCTTTTCTTATCAACAAGTTGTTTTGGTGATATTTTTGGAGTGCCAGTATTACATTATCATTATCATCATCATTATCACTAACAAGGATTGAGTTCTGACTACATACGAGTACTTGCTAAATGCTTTAGATGCCTGATAATCACGTTCTGTATAGGAAGTATTTTTATACAAATAATTATAGAATGTATATCCAAATTAGATTGTATAATACCTTTCAAAGAGGAAGTCTGTATTTTCTGCTGTCCTTCTTCATAAAGATTAAGCCAAATGGCCGGACACAGTGGCTCATGCCTGCAATCCCAGCACTTTGGGAGGCTGAGGTGGGCAGACCACCTGAGGTCAGGATTCAAGACGAACCTGATGAACATGGAAAAAACACCATCTCTACTAAAAATACAAAATTAGCTGAGCATGATGATGCATGCCTGTAATCCCAGCTACTCAGGAGGCTGAGGCAGGAGAATTGCTCGAACCCAGGAGGCAGAGGTTGCACTGAGCAGAGATTGTGCCATTGCACTCCAGACTGGACAACAAAAACAAAACCTTGTCTCAAAAAAAAAAAAAAAAAATTAAGCGAAGTGGACCCAAGTCTAGAAGATAACCTGGGACAGATTTCCTTGGTGCGTACCACTGGAAGTCATCGTGCTTATAGTGGCATTGGCCTTCATAGCTCAGCTTCATTGAGTCCTATTAAAAGAACCCTAATAATGGAAATAAATGTGCCTCTTCTTTCAACATTAAAGACAAGCGACCTTCTCACAGAAAATATTAGCTGATGAAATAAAGGTGGTTTTGGAAACATGAACAAAATAAAGGTAGGGAATTTCAGAAAGAAGAATGCCTGCATTTTGCCCTTCACCTTCAAATAAAGAAAAATAGATATTTCCTTGGCAAACTGAGCGAAGAAAATGGGATGACCAAGCTTCCCAACTAAAATAACATCAACTATATATTGTAATTTCCCTTTTGCAACACCACACTTTTGACTTCATGACACTGCCAGTAAAAATTCATTTTCAAGCAGCACACCGGAACAACCTGGGCCTTTGCCTTAATTCACTTTTCCTGCTAAGAGCCAAGAGGAGAGGTAGCCTTGTCTAAGGAGGACGGACAGCAGTGCACTCCATCGTAGGAGGCTGAATACTAAATTAATCATGTTCTGGCTAGAATTTGCAATTCTTTGAGAGATGCTCAAGATGGTATGAAAAATTTAGAGGTAACAAGGAAGGAAGGAGAGAGGTTGTGAAGCAGAAAGCTTCAGAGGGCACTTTAAATGTGAAAGATGCATTATAGTTTCTCACAAATGAACAAGATAGCTTGCCTTATCCAGAATGCCATAAATAAGTACTGCATTCTCATTGATGTGCCCTGTGAAGGGAGCTGTCATTCTGGAACATAGAAATTTCAGATTCAATGGTCATTTTCAGTTAATGAGTATTAATATGAAACCCATCCATCTGAAACTAGCATTAATTGGTCAAAACCACATGCACAGATAATGTCAATACAAAATGACAAGCTCAGCTTAAGGGGATTCCAGCACTTTTGCATAGATTAGTTTTGGAATTTTTTTAGTATTTTTTAAAATGTAACTACCTCCCCCTTTGTTTCTACTATTCTCAAACTAGTTTTCTTCCTGGGTTCCTAGGATCCCCACTTTGCACTGCATACTTCACCATTGGTCTGCTGCATAAAGGTACCCAAATAGGGTCTCCTCTGTAGTTTCTTTATCTCAATAATTAAGCAATAATCCTGATCCGTTATAAATTAAAGCCATGAGGGATTTTTCTTAGATCCAACACTTTCCCTAAAGTTACTTCTGATATTTAAAGTGCTTTTTAAAAAAGGAATAGAAAAACAAATGCCCGAACTAAAATAAAAAGAAACTCATCATAAATGCAGTGCCATTTAGTGCAATATTTCATGACAATTGTAAGTTTTTAAAAATTGATTTTCTCTCCCAAAGACACTTAGGTAATATCCTTCTAGGACTATTTTATTCTGCTATACTTCATTCTCCATCCCAACCACATATCTTCTTACTGATGCTGAAATTTCTTTTGTTGTTGTGGAAAAAGTCTTTCCCAATAACCATAGAAGAGGGAACAATGGAAAACTTCATTGCTAATAATTATGAGGCCACCACCTTCAGATGCAGATAGAGGTATCCACTGTCACCCTGAGTGGTTTGGATAGTGACAAGATGAATGAGTGTTGTAATTGAAGCCCCTGTGCCCCCTCATCCTCATAGAGCATCTGGCTGCCCAAATCTTAACACCTTTTCCATCTCTTCCCATCACTTCTCCATTCTCCAAATCCCACATAGAATTTTCTACCCCAAATCCCATGTTCTTAGTACCCTGCCTTAAACCAGTAGCTAAATTCTTGTTCCTAGGAAGCTGTTAATAATGTCTGATAAGGAGCCGGCAATACAATTCATGTCACTCTCAGGAGCTCAGGGATTCCTTGCATGTGCAGAGAAATTTTCTCTTATCATCAATTAATATTTTATAGGTTGCTTGTTCTTTATATTACCTCCATCTCAAACAATTTACTTTTTGAACTCTCTTTCCCTTCCCCTAATCTCTGCTGAGTCCGAGTGGAGTGGGGGTGGTGCTTCCCCACTCCTTGGGAGACGTGATTTGCAGATGGTGAATTGCCCCTAACCAGCTCATCTTTTCCAGTCACTGAAGGCACCCACGAGCAGCCACTGCAGAAAGCCCTCGAGATTCACCAACTGGATAAGAAAAAGAAACTGAGTCCTATCTGCCTTAGGGCTTTCTTTTAGTTCCTCCACTGCACAACTCACCTCAACCTTCATCCAAACTGTTGTTCCATCTTCCTGAGACATTCTCCATTCCCTACATCCCAAGGGCTAACTTGGTGTCATGTTTCCGGTCTCAACATAAACTTTATTGCTTCAGAGAGAACTTTGCTAACCCCAGCACATACACACTAAGTTAGTGTCCCATGTTTAGTGCTCCCACAGCACCCAGCACTTGTACTTTTATGACAGCCAGCACAACTCATCCTGCTCTGTCACATTCCCCATCACATACCCAGGTCATCTTTCACACTGGACTGAAAAGACCACTGTGGCTGCTGATTTGGTATTGTGTTGCCAGTGGATAGCAAATATGTATCAGATGAATAAATAAAGGTAAGAATAGTATTTGATTCATTCTTATATCTGCTATAACATCTAGCAAAGTAACTGAAACTTAATTAGCATTCAATAAAATGCTTATGGATTAAGTGCAGGAATAAGAACGCTAAGGATGTCAGCTGAATTCAGCACTACCCCAAATCAGCTGGGAAAATCCTGCCTACCATCATTCTTTCCTGATCTCTCAGTGGATTTCTCGCATTGCTACTTGGCTCAGATAAAAGCTAGAAAGAACAGCACTACAGGAGGAAAAAACAGTAATACGCAATGGAGACTGAACTGCCACAGTCAAAAGTAATATTCTTCTCTCTCTCTTTCAACTCCTACTATTGAATACCACCCCCATCCCCAGAGGAAAAGATCACTGGAAACACACCCAGGAAAAAAGTCACCCTTATATGCTTTTTTATAAGAAGTATGCTACTTAGGTTCTCAACCATTAATATGTAGCTAATATTGACTAATGGAAAATGTAAAAGGAAGAAAGCTACAGTTTTTTAAAGCATACTCATTGAAATTAAGGTCATCTGTAAGAAATTTGTTTTTAAAAAAATTTCTGAGCCTCATCCAAAACTCTAGAGGGCATATTAAATAATGAAAATGTAAACTCTTGGGATTTGGTGCTGGTTACTATGTTGGCACAGTACATAGCTCCCTGTGTGGTTTAAAAAATTAAGGAATTTTCCCTTCTCCCTTTATCTAGTAGCCTCCAAAATTAA